CCCCTTCCCTACCCTCCTCCCTTCCCTTCCCTTCCCCTTCCCTCCCCTCTTCACTCCCCTCGCTTCCCTTCTACCCCTTTCTTCCCCTCCTCTCCCCTCTTCCCCTCCCCTCCCTGCTGTTCTTAAGATCACCGCTGTCCTCTCCCCCTAGCAACCCTCCACGTGCACCTGCTGCTCGATTTCTCCCCCTTCCTTTCCCAACGTGAGAGCATACTCACACTAGGACTTTTCTACTGCTTTCTGGACGCATTTGCGGAGAGATACATCCAGGTCTGGCCGTAATTGGGGTCAAATCCGTTTAACAAAGTGCGAGTGAAAGCATGCCCTGAGTCCTCTTTCACGCCTGGGAGTCTCCAAAGGGCCGCCTCTGCTGATAGACCTACCGACGTACTACCCTCCTCCTCCACCCTCACTCTCCGCTCTCTCCCATCACCTTTCCCTCCATCGACCTAACTTCAACCTCGATACCCCCACCTCGTCTATACCGTGCTCCCCCGTACACAGCGCACCCCGATCGCGACTGTCTCGGACCGGAAAGACAGCTCGCAGCCATTTTCGATGCCGGTGCGGCCAGACGACAACGCACCCTCGTCGCGACTGTACCGGACCAGGAAAAATAGTCTCTGTACATTCATGAGATAGCTCGCAGCCATTTACCATGCCGGTGCAGCCAGACGACAACGCACCCTCGTCGCAACTGTACCGGACCAGGAAAAATAGTCTCTATACATTCATGATCGAGTTGCAAGGCTTTCGGCAGAAAAAGGTTGCTCCATTTCTTCGCCTTTCCGCTCTGGCTCTCCAAGGGCTGTTGCGAACGCCGCTCGCTCGTTCTGGACCCCTTTGCCCTTCCACTTTGAGCTCTAGACGTAATCGCGGTCAGATACGTCCCTTTCCCGCTCGAATCCGTCCTGCACTTTCAGGACCCTCACCTCCTTCCCACCCTCCTCACTTTCACCGACCATCGGATTCAACGAGCCGCGCGCCAGGCGGGCACGGGCGATGAAGAATGAAAACTTGAAAACTGAGAAATGAAATTGAATTTAATTTTGTGAGAAATGAAATGAAATTGAAATTCCGTGGGAACGGCCATTTTTAGCATGGCGGTTGATGTCCTCAGAAAAGGCAGGAGAGCATCCTTTTTTTACTCACAACAATGGCTTCGGAGGATGTATCCGGACGAGGAAATGCGTACGGGTTCCATTCACAAGAGCCTTCAGGAGGTTTTCTGTCCTCCTTCCCAACCACCAGTGGCCTGGCCAGCTGTCCTGCACACGCCCCTCCTGCCCACACCCCTCATGCAGCGAAAAGGCTGAGAGGAGGGTGAGGGGAGGGGGATTTTTTCTTTTTCCCACCGTTTCTCAATCTATGGCTGCCATCCCTGCGCAAAGGCCTGTGGCCTTATTCCTGGATGTCTCGCGGGTTGGGCACCTGGCGGAAACCCCAACCTATTGGAAACCCCTTCAATCAATGGCACTTCAACAGTACCCCGCCCATTCGGGAATCCGTGCTGACATCATTAAACTTGGAACGATACAGAGCAGATCAGGAGAAAAAATAAACGCGTTTAAAAAAAAAAAAAGGGAGTTTCGTAGTGCATTTTTCAGTGGTTCAGGTACCCGACTGAAATGGCTGGTGCTGCCAGCCAAAAGCAGCCCCCCATTGGTTCCGTTTTTCGGTGCGCAGGGCGAGTTTTGGCTCAGCATCAATAGTTGGGCAGGGTACTGGTGCCGCGCACCCAAAAATTTGCCCAGTTGATAACCACTGGCTGTCGTTCACTCTTGGAAACTACGCTGGCCACAAGCTCATACTAGGTGTAAATCGAAAATGCACCTTAGCCTCCATGCGGCAGGCTGAAACAGTAGCACGAACCGTTCCTACATGGCACCATTTAGGTTTGAGGCGAGCACCTTCTGGAAACGGCCCCTTTATCACACCACCAAGATGCCACTTGTTTCTAACACCACCAAAGTTAAAAATGAACAAGACAGCAACGACCATCCCACCCATTATCTCGCCTCCCATCCCACCAGTCATCAGTCGACTTCAAACACGTTTACAAGTGAGTCAGCCAGCAAGCACTGTGAAGAGAGAGAGGGAGCACACACGCCTTTCCTTTTTTTTTTGCTCTTTTTTTTACTGTTTGTGTTTGTATGTGGTCGTAGTTACGTTTATGTGCAGTCACCAAAGCCCCCTCCCCCATTACCGACTGTTGCTTGTAAGAGACAGAGAGAGAGAGAGAGAGAGAGAGAGAGAGAGAGAGAGAGAGAGA